TTTTCTCAACCCCTAAGGGTGGTAACGAGGTGTCAGGCTGCACAGTGCTTGTAATGCATCCTGTTGGGCATGTCCTGCCAGAAGGGTCAGCAGTGGTCCACCTGGAAGTGAGGGAGAGACCTGAAATTAAAGGTAAATTTAAAAATCCAGAGTCTGCCTTCTATTTCAGATGTTGGACCAGATAATAGGTTTCTTTCAACTAATTTTTAATTTTGAATGTGTTATTTTTCCTGAAAATGGGACAGTTTTACTGATCTCATAAGGATGTTAGCACTTGTAGGTAAGAGAGGTCTTGGCCTCAAATGCTGGTTTGATTTGGCTTTTTATTCAACCTGACAAATCGGTGCCTGGTCCTCCTCCTCATCCCCACAGTTGTGTCTCCTTAATTCTGTACAGGGTGGCTGCTTCAGTGTCCTGTCACATGTGAAAAGTTGCTTAAGGATAAATTTTCCTGAGTGCTAAGTCATGGCAGCAACTTTGTGCTTCCAAATCAAAGTCACAGTAAGCTGTACGCTCCTGAAGCCAAGTTTTTCAAAGAGAACTTTTTTTTTTTTTTTTTAATTGATTTACTAACTACTCTTGTGCTTTGATGACTTTGGAGGACTGTGTGGCCAAGTCTCATTTGAAAACAGTATTAAGGACCCACAGGAAGTAAAGCACTTTTGGGAAATGTAAGATGCAAACTACTGCCCCTTTCTCTCAGCTCTCACAGGCTGGAGGAAACAAAGTGCCATTTCCTAGTGTTTGGACATTTTGTGATAGCTCAAGAGGCCCCTGCTCATTGCTAGCATGATTCTTTTGCAGTACGGTACATGATTAGGAACTGTGAAAGAATTTCATTATGGATACATAATTAAATGGTTTTTCAGATGATTTGAAGTGAGGTAATGAGGACATAACCAGATTTTTGAGAGCTGTGATCCAGTCAACTACTTTTCAATTGAAAGCTTAGTTTTACCCTACTATCTTCAGTTTAAAATATAGAATGTGTCAGAAACATGACCTTATCTAGATGTTCACAAAGTATCTAGAAGCATTTTAGAAGGGGAGATAGAAAGTTCAAGGGAAGGAACTTCTCCAGAAGCTGTTCCTGTTGCAGTTAGTTTGTGTTAATTCTGTTCTGAGCACATAATGGAAACAAGTTTCATATTCCTTACGCTGAAAGGTGAGTACATAACATGTCAAAATGCAGCTTTAAAACAGCAAGACTATTGAATAAGCCGTGTGTGACAGAGCAGTGTCTCCTGCCTACTTGGGGTTGGAGACTTTTCTGGGAGGAGGTGATGTGATAGATAAAGCGTTGCTGTTACCTTGACACAGCATTCACAGTCCTCTTCACAAAGAAGCTTCTGTTTGAGTTTTGTGAAGCAGTGTACCTGGGTAAGTCGACAATTTGGTTGTGATTCCACTGATGATTCTCATCCAGCATCCCTTTGTTAAAAGTCTGTCTGCCTAAAAATAAGAAATATGTAGGTAAATCTTACAGAATTTGCTAGATTAGCAAATAGCATATAAATCTGTTCTTAGATTTACAAATAGCGTGTGTTAGTGAATGCTAATTCATCTTTCCTCAAAAATGGTTATAAAAATCTGAGTCATCTCACGAAACTTGGTTTTCAAGTCTAATGTCAAATTACTGGTGACAGTCAACAAACTGTAAGATTTAAGGTGCTATGTGGCTTGTACATGTATTTGAATAGGCAAACCTACCTCAGTCATTTCCTAAGGTTAGTACTTAATATGACCCTAATAATATTGTTTATAGAAGTGCATTTTATATATATGCTTTTGCAGAGAAACGTTGGTGCAGAATGCAGTCGTGTACTTCTGAATGGAGTCTGAAGGATGATATGGGGTGGATGACATTTTCTGTATGAGGATGCAGGGATTTAGGGTGATAAGGTAAAGCTGGGGAGCCACCAGAAAGAAGAGCCCCTTGAACTGTGGTTTCAGGGTAAGAGCAGTATGAGGGAGAGCAAAAGGCCTGAGGAAAGAAAATACATTACAGTGCTGGCCCAGGGCAAAAAGTGTGATTTCCTTGGAACTATGGACCTGACTACATCAGTGACTTCTGGTTGCTTGGCTTTATGAGAAACTGTTAAAGCATGGAAAAGGCTGCTGTGAACATATCTTGTGAGAGGGCAGCTCTTGCTGTGTCTGATTATGGAGGTCACGCACGTGGGTCATTTGCATCAGAAAAAATGCCAGACAGAATTTGAGATGAAGTCCTTGCTGGGTTAGAGTTGCTCGATGCGTCCTTCCCTACAACATCACCTTCTGGAGACAAAGTTCTTCGGTCTGTTCATCAAGTTCATCTTATGTCCAGTCATGAAATGCAACAGAGGGGTGAAAGCAGTTTAAAGAGCCCCTGCTTGCTTCGGGCTGGTCCTTGGGCCACTTCTCACATGTGGATGCACTTGTGCAAATCTGCACTGAGTGAATTGGTTAATCCAGGATCGTGTGGAAGCAGAGCATGATTCCTTTATTTTGCTGACTTACAGTGGAGGTACCGTACATATTTCCCCATACCCTGCATCAGTGCATGTGATTCCTGTATGGCAAGGGAGGGCCTGCAAGGCAGAGCTGCCCCCTCCTTCAGCCCAGCTCTGAGAGGGCCGCCTCTTGCCCCTGCAGCAAGAAGTGCTTTGGAATCTGTGTGGTTCCTCCTGGAACAGCTGTAGCAAAAATAAATAAAAAAGTTCTTTTCCCTCTCCCATAGCGGGTGACTTTGTCTCCCCTCTTCCTTTTCAGCTTAATTAGATCAGGAGGAGATAATCTGCTGGATGCAATCCCTGACACCTGTTACGGTAAAGGAGAAACTCCCTGCCTTCCAAGAGGATTACCACAGGCCTGATTACAGCGCCATGAGAGCCCCATAAACCCATGTCGAGGGCACTGAGAAGGAATTTTGTCTTAAGTCTAAGGCATCTAGAAAAGATTTCCAGCGTGTACCTACATATCCTGCCAAAGTCTCTCATAACTAGGATTTAATGTACTGGCTTGCGATAATAACCAAGTCATAAGGACTACTGCTGGCGCATTTTCTGTGTGCCAGGTCTTTAAAGTATTATAAAAAATGCTTAATATCTATCTGGCAAGGTTTCCAAAAGTACCCTTTTTGAAAACCCAAACCAAAAAAGCAGCTCCAGAGTCTTTTAACTTGCTGTCTCTGTCTGCACAGAGCAGACACCAGAATATTGCTTCCAGGAAAGGGATGATTTTAATGCATCCGTTGACATGCTTTCGAGCTCAGTGTTACCGTAGACAAAGCACAGCCAGGCTTTAGCTTGCTATTGAAGCTAAAACCCACTCTACGTTGGCCTAATATCACTGAAGCTAGTTTGTTGCTAAAAATCCCTTTGGAGATACCTCAGCAGTTTTGTTTTGTGAAACAAATAATGAAACGAGAAAGTATAATTTTGCTTTAGGGTGTTGTGAACACCATGGATGAATATTTGTAAATGTCTCAGTGAAAATCATTCCGGTCCCATGACTGTATTTCACCATGAAACAAGGACAGAGCAATTAAGAGATCCATGAAACACACAGCTCTTCACAGGAGGAAAAAAATAACTTTTTCGAGCTCTGTCCCAGGGTCAAACATTGCACTGCCTGGGCTCTCTGTGTGCCAAGGTAGGGTCCCAGCATGCAGTCCCCAGCACAGGCTGTTAAATTAAGGCGCAGCAAGCCAGGAGCACAGTTCAGCAGCACCCAGTCTGAAATGGGCTTGAAGCCTGGACAAAGCCAGCCTGCAAAATACCTCGTGAGCATGCCTTCAGAAAGAGTATTGTGTTGTGGAGAGGTTATGTCTTCTCTCCATCCCTTCCGCAGGCCACTGAGGAATCTCATTTCTGCCAGCAGGCTCCTCTGATCAGAATTTCCTACAAATGGGAGCACAGAAACCCTTTTTTTTGAAAGCAGCAGTTACTGGTACAAGGGTGGCATATAGAAAACCAGTCATACACACAGCCAGAGTTCCTGTGTTGACAATGACAAAAAACCTCAAATACCTTCCTCCCTTTCCCTTCCCCTCAACAAAGCATTAGGGCCTAATGCTGGGGCTTTCAGCCTATAAATTCTAAGAAAGGATGGAGAAAATGGGCAGAGGAGGAAAAGTATCAGCAAAGGCAGCTTCATTTATCTGATTCTGAAATCCACCAATACAGATTTTTCAAGTGATCTGCAACTGCCCTGGGAAGGGGTTGGCCTTTTGGCTTGTGACCTCCCACTGCTCACTTGCTTAGCTGCCAAAAGCTCCAGTGAAAAAAGGTGACTTTTGCTAAACAGAATTAAAAATAATGACAAAATGTGACATTTCCCCAGCAAAACTTTTATATACTAAAGGAGTATTTCTTTTTTATTAAAAAAAAAAAAAAAAAAGAAATAAAAACCTAACAAGTACAGATCAGGCAAATGGGGCTGTCCCTCCTGCACTGGCCCAGTGCTGTTCTGACCCCATTAGCTGTCACTGGGCTGCAGGGCACATGCATCAATTTCACACCCAGCTGCAGGGTATCCAAACCAGCCTCAATCAGAGACTTCTCCAGCCTCTTTTTGCAGAACAGGTAGCTGGATTTGTTCTGATTTTTAATAACCTGTGTTATGGTTATGCATGCCTGTGTGCAGGAAGCACTGTAACCAGCATAAAGCATCAGGATGCGTTCAGGGATTTTGCTTGACAGACAGACCTGCCACAAAGGAGGGGATTGAAACAAACCTCTGTAATTCAGCAAGTGTCCTTTGGAGACGTGGGGCAGGAGTAAACCTGAACCAGTTCGCTGAAAATGGAAAAGACTGCGTCTATAGAGGGTCAGGCATCCCTGAAGCTTTAGACAAGTCCAGCTTTCCCCTTTCGAATTTTTTGGGTTGGCTCTAGTTATAATACCGAATCGCTAATAAAATTAATTAGAAGCGTCAGTAAGTTGGTCATCCCAGGAGTCTTTCTGTGTGAAGCAGTCATTAATTATTCTGACAGGGATTGTCTCTCTTTCTATTTACAGGCTGGCCGTGGGCAACACTGACTGTTCTCGGGTTCCTGTACTGCTACGCTCACGTGGGAATCGAATGGGAACGCACGTACGCTGTGAACTAGGGGTGACGCTGAGCGACGAGTTTCATGGCAGCTTACAGGTCGATGGCTTTCTACACTGGACGTCTTATCCGCAGAAGAATGTGCCAGACCAAGTACTTGGTCAATGCATTAAAACTAAAAGCTCATTTAGTTCATTCCGGATTGTGAATTCAGGAATTTAAGCAGAAACAATAATAATGGGCTATAGGTAGGGTGGGGAGAAATTATGAAGCATTTTGAATGATGTTATTTTTATAAAACAGCAAGTCTGTGACTGTACACTGAAAGCGTGCACCTCAGAATATGTATTTCATATATGATAAAGACTGGTTTTATTTCTTCCAATATCTTGCTGCCTATTTTGATGTACCGAAGAAAATTCTTTTTTCCTACATTGCACAATCCAAAAAAACCCTTCCAATCTCTCTCAGCTTCTGTCCAGGGGCACACAGGGCTGTGCCCTGCACTTACATTACTTGTGACAGGCAGGATGCTCATCAGTTCGTTTTGATTGCTTTCTGATTTAAGGTAGAACATTTTTTGTGTTCTCACTGCTTGCAGTTTTTCAGCCTTAAAGGACTTTCTACTTACTGTAGCAAAGTCTGCTTTTTCTCTTTAATTCCTTCATTTAAACACTTCTTTTTTTTTTTTTTGTAGTCTTAAGAGTGTTTGTGTTTGATCATTAAAAAAGAGGAAGGCAGTCTTAAAAAAATATTAAATGCTGCACTAGGAGCAGCATTGCAAGAGCTTTAAAAATAAAAAATAAAATAAATAAAAGGCAGGGTTGTCTGTTACACTGGCACCAAATGAGCCAGAGCTTCATGTCCTTAGCCCGCAGCCAGACCTGTCACAGCAGCATCTTTGTTAAAACACAGGGTTGCCCAGAGCTGGCAAAGTTCTGCCTGTCTGGTTGCGAGCCTTAAGGTTGCGAGTGCTGGCACGTGCTGCTTTCCAAGGGGAAGGGAGACCCTACCCACCTCTGGTACAAGGGGCATCTCCCACTCTGTTCCCTGTTAATCAACCTGAAGGCCTTTAGTTACATGGCTAGGCTTTCCTTTAGGCACAGCAGAAGACCACCAGCCCTGGAGAAGAGCGCAGCTCCTGCTGAGAGCAGCTCCTGCACCCGTAGCAGCAGGACTCCTCTCCCAACTTGTTCATGCCCCCGGCAGCCATCCCAGCCTGCTGGGAAGCACAGATGAGTGTCCTGCTGTCCTCCTGCAGCTTTGGACAAGTCTGATCGAGATCATCCCTTCAGCAAGAAATTCAGTCCCTGAGATAGGCTTCAGCTTGGTGCCTGCATTTCTGATGTCTGCTGCTCTGACACCTTTTTCCCCTTCATTTGTTGCTGCAGAAATAAGGGCAGAGTCTTCAGCTGACTACCTGTCCAGAGGCCCAGCCCTTCCCTTACTGTTTCCGAGCAGAACCTCCAGCCCTTTATTTTCAGGGAAGGATTTTTCCACTGTGCAAATGCAGTTATTTCCCTTGGAAGTTATCTCTAGGAGATATGATGGACTGTTGAAAATAAGACGCACCATGCGTGCTGCCTGGCCAGAGACGTGGCCCTCTGGATTGATTTATGGTGATTACAGGGATCCTCTCAGCCAGAGAAGTATTTTGCTCTCAGCCTGCAAATTTTCTAAAAAGATGTGAAATTGGCCTCAGCTCTGGAGTAGCACTGAGCTAAGGGCAAGAACCTCCTGAAACTTAACTCAGACTTTGTAATTAAGTGGAATTAGCATTGGAGTGAAAAGTCATGAGTCTGTTCCTCAGTCTGATCAATTACCATTACTGCATGACATGAGTGGCTACTGAGTGATGGGATTCCAATTTGTATGCATGCAAAATGCCCTGCTCTAATATGGCAATGACCCTGAAGGTCAGCTAGATTATGCTTCTTTCTAAAACAAAATTGTTTTTTTTATATGTATTTTTTCAGTGCTTTATACATCTTCCCTAATTTTGTATCCTTTTCTGTTTCAAAAAATAAAGCTTAAACTGACAGTTGTTTTGAGAGCTGTGTCTTAGAAACCTTCAGTTTGGCGTAAGAAAAGTGCTTCCCTGCCAGTTAGAAACCCCAATGAACTGGAAGCCTACAGGATAGGTGCAGTACAGGCTGGTTGTGTTTGTCCTCCTTGTGCACATATGGAGCGTGCATTTCCTGATGGGGTGAGTTTAAAAAGTAAATACACCTTTGGTAGATTAGCAATGGTGACATTTCAGTGCGTGAAGCTTCTGTGAGTGGTCACCACGAGTAGGATGGAAGTAAAAGGATGGAAGGAAAATGATGCTTCCCTTTATAACGTTGCTAATCTGGTCCATAGTCAAAAGCATGAAGATTGCTAACACAATTTAAGAAATAAATACTATTTCTTGTAGTTTAAATATTTATCATCAAAGAAATAAATACATTTCTTCACTCTCAGTCTTTCCAGGGGTTCATTTTTCCTGCTGCTTTGAAGTATTTATTTCACAAACAAGCCCACTCACAAGGTTTCTGACCCATCCTGCTTCCTGAGCACCAATAGGTCAGGCATGAGGCACACTTGGTCACCCAGACAGCTCTGTTAAGAGCACAGGCTGTGCCTGCAGCACTCTAAATGTGTGTAGTCAGCTATACCTTCAGCTTGGAGGCCCGTTCCTCAGCATGACCTGCACATTTTCATTATCACATGGTGCCTGCTGGAATTGAAATCAGGTGGTAGCCAGAAGTGCTGTCCTCCATGTCCTCTGTGATGGTTCTAGGGAGGTGGGTGTCTGCAGAGGCTTGGAAGAGACAGAAGACCCCAGTTGCCAAAGGAAAAAAAAAGAAATAATAAAAGGTATGGGGAGGAGGAGAAGATGACTTCCAAACACTAAGGGAAAGCTAATTGCAGGCCCTAGGAAACAGTTGACAAAGAACTTTCCAAATGGCCATTTCAAACCAAAGGGGAGGCGATTGTAGGCTGGGGGAGGCGGGGGCAGTGCTGCTGGTAGCCCTGGAAGTCAGGAAGTCAGAGACTGCTGTGACCAAAAGCACAAGGTGGTGACTGTGAAACAGCTGGGCAGGCGCGTGATGCCTGCTGACAAAAACAGGTCAAAAGTGATTGTGAAAAGCATGCTTAAGCAACTAGCAAGCATTGCACGTATGGCTTTAGCAGCTACCACAAAGCTGCAGCAATCAAGTCACGCATGCACGTATGCGTTCATCCCCTACCCCCTACTTGGTTAACAAAGTGCTCACAGCCATAATTATTACTGGGGACGGCAGGATTACGCTAAGTGGCTCTTTCTTTAATTCTGCATTGATTAGAGGGCAAGCGAGGCTTTGCTCACGTATCTTTTTCACATCTCAGAGCTAAAAGCAGATTAGTCGGAATAACCAGCTTACCACAGGTCATAAGAAAAACAGCTTAACTATGAAAACCTGCAGCAATTTTGTTATTAGTCATAGCAGTCACACGGTGCCCCTCCTTTCCCTTGCACACCCGCTTCATTTCCTCCATCACTGCTGCCCCTTGAGCTGGCTGCAGCTCACACTTGCTAACAGGAGGCTTACCTTCCTCAGGCATGCTGGCGTGATTTTCCTCAAGGAGCTGTGAAGAGCGAGGGGATTGCTATGCGTGGTGTGTCACAGCTTCTGCCTGTGCTTTATAGTCAAAACACCCCCCCAGTAGCGCTGCCTGTTATTGCTCTGCAAAATAACTCTCTCCGCGCACAGCCGCTTGTTAGTCAAGTCATATATTTTAATGCAGCAGGGACAGCTGAAATATTGCTTGCCACAAAGCCTGTGAAGAGCTCTGCGTCTGTAACACCTGTGAGGAATGAGGGAAGAGCTGCATTACAACAGTTTTGATTGCATTAAAAGACATCTGAGCCCAACCCTCTCTGGTGCCCCTCTCTGCCAACCCCCTTCAGGCTGGGGTGCCTGGGGCGCTGTGTGCCCCTGCACCCATTTCAGCAGTTTCAGCAGTAGCTGCCTGTGGATGGGTGTCTTGGCTAGTAACTTGTAAAAGGAAGCAAAGATGAAGCCAACTGCTCTGCTCGAGTTTTCCGCTTTCAGCAAAGGAGATAATGTCGAGCAAATGTCCTGCTGAGAACAGCTAACACCAGCCATGTCCCAGCCATGGTGCTGCGAGTCACCTGCACCTGAGCTTACTGCAGGTGGACCATTAGCTCAGGCATCCCAAGCCTGTGCTTGATCCTTGTCAGCTCCAAGCATGAGCAGATTCCAGGGATGCCTCCAATGCCCAGGAGGAGAGGGAGAGGAAAAGAAAAAGCCTAATGAACCTGACCCATGTGTTTTAGGAGAATAGTCTCAAGGTCCAGCTTCCAAGCAGCTTCAGAGCCTCTCCATTCAAGGAAGCTCCCACAGCCCTCCAGCCTCCTGTCAGCATCACTGGCCTTGGAAACTCTTGCTCCAAGAAGAAATGGGCTCTTGACAACAGAGAAAATAATGGCAGGGTGGGAACTGCATGGCTGCATTACGTAAGGGAATCCAACACACAGATACTTGGAAAACCTCCTCATTCCTTGCACCAGGAGTCACAAAGCTCTGGATGAGAGCAAATAAAGCTAACATGAACATTTAACAGGCAAATTTTGACCACAAATTTGGCTGCACCACTTTTCATTACATTCAGGGCCAGTTGGGGTCTGAGTGTAAATAAGATTAGGCACTGGTGTACCAGTTCCTGTCAGAAATTGGTCAGATAAAAATGGCGTACCTGTGGCATATGAATTCACGAGCAACATTCAGAATACAGGTAACAAAAATACATCACTATCTACAGGGATTTAGGAAAAGCTTTACATATGGTTGGGTAGCTGAAGTGAATCACTGCTGACAGGTGCATCATGCAAGCACTGAAAAATTAAAGTTTACTGAAGAAATAAAACAGAGACATGACTTTGGTTATAACCTGTGAAGTTTAAATTGCACCAGCACTCCCTCTAGATATTTCTTGACAAAATTAATTAATTTTTATGGACCACAGAACTGATATCCCTGCACTAGTGCATTGGCGTTTCCAAATTAGATGGCAAAAATAGAACAACTGGAAATGATATTTGAAGCCCAGAAACATCCGCACCATTGGTGAAGGAATTTAAAGGGAAAAATCCTATGGAAAGAAGAAGCTTCAGCTGATTTTTTTTAGACTGCTGCTGGAAGAGTTGTTTTAAATGCACAGGTAATGTGGGAGGATTACCTTATAGTAATCCAAATTGCACAGACATAAAAATACACATTTACAAGGCAGTTTTTTTCACTGGTATTATCACTAATTTATAGTTACGGGTTTCTTTGTTCTTGTGGCAGTAGTATTTGTGCTGAGGTGGTAGTTTGTGCTGAAATTACAGGCTAATAATGTTCATCTGGTCACATCTCTGCTTCAGGCTACTTCAGCCGCCTTCCCCCCCAACCTGGCATCCTGCCCCAAGGCCGCCCCTTCGGTCAGGGTCAGTTCTTGCTACAAACACAGAGGCTGGCAGCAGCCTCACTGCTGACCTGGCTCACGTCTGCCCAGGGCAGGTTGGCCATGGATCTAGTGCAGCCCCACTGGGGCTCTGCTTTGCCGCAGGCCCATCGTGAAATGCACTACTGAAATGACAAAATGCAGGAGAAAGAAACATGGGGAAAACCCCCTGTGGGTTGGGCTCAAAGGGTTGTAGTAAATGAGGTTCCTTCAGGCTGGCAGCCTGTCACTTGTGGGGTTCCACTGGGCTGCATTTTAGGGCCAGTTCTCTTCAGTGTTTTCACAAGTGACTTGGATGTAGGACTAGAAGGTGCTTTGAGTAAGTTTGCAGATGTTACTAAAGAGGAAGAAGCTGTTGATGCTGTCAAGGGTGGAGAGGCCTTGCGGAGAGATCTTGACAAATTAGAGAGCTGGGCCATCACCAGCATTATGAAATTTAACAAGAGCAAGTGCTGGATTCTGCACCTGGGAAGGGGCAACCCTGGCTGTATGTACAGACCAGGAAACGAGATGCTGGAGATCAGCCCTGCAGAAAGGGATCTGGGGGGTTGGGTCGATGTCTGGTTGAATATGAGCCAGCTGTGTGCCCTGGCAGCCAGGAGGCCCAGCTGTACCCTGGGCCTCCTGCACTGCCAGCTGGTTGAGGGGAAGGATTGTCCTGTGCTGCTCTGCGCTGTGTGGCCTCACCTCGAGCACTGCGTGCAGTTCTGAGCACCACAATGTAAGGAAATAAAACTATTTGAGAGTATTGACACTATTATTACACTCAACACTAAAGAACATAAAACTATTAGAGTGTATAGGAGGGCTACAAAGATGGTGAAGGGCCTAGAGGGGAAGACATATGAGGAGCAGCTGAGTCCCTTTGTTTTTTCAGCCCAGAGCAGAGCAGGCTGAGGGGAGGCCTCATGGCGGCCTGCAGCTCCCTCAGGAGGGGAGCGGAGGGGCAGGCGCTGAGCTCTGCTCTCTGGGGACAGCGACAGGACCCGAGGGAACGGCATGGAGCTGGGACAGGGGAGGGTCAGGCTGGGGGTTAGGGAAAGGGTCTGCACCCAGAGGGTGCTCGGGCACCAGGACAGGCTCCCAAGGGCAGTGGTCACAGAACCAAGCCTGCTGGAGTTCAAGAAGCATTTGGACAACGCTCTCAGACACAGGGTCTGATTTTTGTTTGGTCCTATGTGAAGCCAGGAGTTGGACTTAATGATCCTTGTGGGTCCCTTCCAACTGAGGATGTTCTATGATTCTGTGAGTCTGTCACTTGGAAACCCTAGGACCCTTCAGCACAAGGGCCTCTGACTGCACCTCCTTCCATCCTGGCAGCAAAAGCAATGGTTTCAGGAAACTGTTTTTAACTTCTTCAAGTCCCAAATGTGATGGAGACCCCAGTGCTCCAGACAGCAATGTCCCAGTGGTAGCCCAGAAGGTCACCAAGGACATGTGAGCAAGCAAGCTCTGGGTCCTGACCTCAAAACTTGTTGAGATGTCTCCTGACCCACACTTGGCACTCCACCATTGGTGTTTCTGGCCAGACTTTAGCAGCCTTTGATCAGGTTTTTATTCTCAGAGTTCCTCAGTCTATCTGACCATATCCTGTCAAATGCTTGTGAAAACTGAGACCTACAAGGATTTTCTGTACGAAGTCTTGCTTACCTTGAGTGGTTATGCCAATAACCAATGACATAAAAAAAAAATGCAGGTTAAATATGAACACTGACTTGTTATACGGGTTTTAAAAGTATGAAAAGCATCCAAAGTAAAATACTGTACTTTTTCCTTCCATTCACCCACAGATGGTAGTCACCACTACCACAGTAATGAAAATGCTACTGCTCATTGCCATGGTGGCAGCAAACAAGCAAGTCTCACAATCCCACTCATTGTTAAGCTTTTTTTGAGGAAAGCATCAGTGAGATTTCACAGCACTCACATAATTCCACCAGGACCCCCCCCCTCAGTAACTTCTGCCTCACCAGAGGCTGCAAGCAAAGGGTGCCAGTGATCCCTGTCCCCACCTACCTGTTGCCCTCACTTGTGAGCAAGTGTCCGTGGTCCCACAGCCTCTCACTGGACATGCAGAGGTAAAGACATTGTGTCGGGGAGAGCCGTCATCATTCCCCCCTTGGCAGGTCCTACCAAGGGCTCCTCCTGCTCCAGAGGCAGCCAAGCCTAAGGTGAGATGGGGCCAAGGTGCCTCAGGGGAGGGATGTGGCACGGGGTAAGCATGACTGGCAAGGTAGTCAAGGTGTTCACTGCCTGTCCCTTGCTGGCCCTTTAACATCTGACATCTCCCTTCAGCTTGCCAAAGGCACTGTCATCCCGCAGTTTAACCAACATAGTGGAGCAGTTTTTAAAATTCTTGTTATCCAAAAAATGAAAGGTGGACAGGGTTTACCAACAAGGGGATGAAAGCTGGTGCCACCCATAAGTATTGTTGGAGATCCAGGGGTATGCCTAACCTCTAAATTTGGCACAACAATCTATTATAGGCCTCATGTTCAGAGCACTGACAGCTATAAACATGAATTTAGGGTCCATGCTTTTGCTACATGATATGCTTCTTCCATGTGTTGCCATGACCTCAGACTCTTTTTACACCTGGTCACCTGCACTAAAGTCAGAGCAACCAGCCTGCAGCTACTCCAAATGCCTGACTACAGATGTGTTATTTGCTGCTCATGAATGAGACATGACCACCCCGATTTTACAGATCCATTTACAATTCTTGGTGCCTGAACTGTAATTTCATGCAGTAGTTTATGTACAGTTTCTGCACAGTTGCCTAATGGATGCTTTTTTCAATTTAGCTTTCAGCTGAGCTGTTTCAGTTTCCATTCCTGTCTCCATGCTTCCAATAGCCAGGTTCAATATGGATGCATGTGCAATACCATGCTGAAGGAAAAACAAATAATTTATTTTTGGCCTGGGCTACATACAGATTATCTTAACTCGCTTTCTTATCCTCCTGCCACAGCTGACAATTCTCAATAAACTTTCCTGTTATCATTAGTTCCAAAATACATTCTGCTTAACTGTGAAAGTAAAACTCTCGCACACACAAAAGACACTGGAGAGGTTTGAAAGCGATCTGTGTTTTCCTCCATTGTAATCCACCACTTGCAGAGAACCAATTCTTGCCCAGCTGCTGAGCCCACAATAGCTCCCAGGTTTAATATCGCACTCAGTGTGCTACTGCTGCTGAGCATTTCTCTCCAAATGGTGACCCCTGCTGAAGAAGAGGCCTTAGTCCTCTGTTTATGGAAAGGCCATGCTTGATGTGGATCCTCCAGCAGCATTTCCTTCTCCCCAAGTTGTGTATTTCAGCTATGAGGAGGGGATGTGGAGGCAAATCCCTGAACCAATACCCACCTCCCTTCAGATTCACATCTACAAATGCAGTGACGGTCACAGGTGCAACACATCCCCCCAGGCAGGCGTTAACAGCAAAGCTGTGCCTTCACTTCATGCCTCATCCACTGGGACCGAAACTTTCTCTCTGGTCACTTTAAGTAAAACTGTAAAAGTGACTAAAGCTAAAAAGAAAAAAGTAAAGAACAGGGAAGGGAAGGGAAGGGAAGGGAAGGGAAGGGAAGGGAAGGGAAGGGAAGGGAAGGGAAGGGAAGGGAAGGGAAGGGAAGGGAAGGGAAGGGAAGGGAAGGGAAGGGAAGGGAAGGGAAGGGAAGGGAAGGGAAGGGAAGGGAAGGGAAGGGAAGGGAAGGGAAGGGAAGGGAAGGGAAGGGAAGGAAGGGGAGGAACTGTGGAGAACAAGAGAAGTGTGTCACCTCACAAGCAAGCTCTCTCTGAGGTCGTTCCTGTACTCCCTTCCTCCATCTGTACCAGGTGGGATTTCTAGGGTGAAAAGCTGAGAAGTTGCCCTCATGGACGAAGATGCTGAAGTTAAACTTGTTTTTAAACCTACACCTGTGCCGTGGGGGGGTAGGGGGGGAGAGAGACGCACCTAAATTTGAACATGGCTGGGCTCTAGGAGGGCTTGAATTTGACCTTGATTAGGAAGGGGGAACAGGAATGGAAAAGGAAAGAGGATTAAAAAAAAAGACAGCCCTGAGCATGTGTATTTTGCAGCTGTACCTATGCACAAGCGTCCTCATATTTGCTGCTGACAAACACGCTCAGAGTTTGTTTACTCTAATGCCTTCTCTGTCTCCCTCACTGGTTTTTACTCTGTCTGTCTTTCAGGAATAGGACAGGTTATTTCCCCCAGCCTCTTCATCCCATCACAGAGGCCGTGCTGAATTATAATGAAGGGAGCAGAAATGCAGGTGAACAATATTTGTTTGCTGTTATTGTCCCTACTGCCCTATGCCTGTTGCCTTTAACCCCCTCCCACGGCGGGCAGCCATGAGCACCATGGCACCCCCGCGTCCCTCAGCATTGTCCCCACAGGATGGGCAGCTTGGCCGGCCAGCCCAGCCTCGGTAGCACACCAGGCACAGCAGCAGCTGCAAAATGCAAAATTCACAGTGGCCAAACAAGATAACACTGCCTCCCCAGCAGCTGCAGCAAGTGGGTGAGGGGTGCCTGGCTGGGATGGGAAGGGAGGGAGGTGCTGGAGGAGGTCACTCGGCCTGGCACAAGTGCCAGACCAGAGCTCTCCTCCAGCCACCCACCGTCAGGTGTCTTGGAGGTGCTGCCCTTTGCACGTGAGCTTATGCTAAAATAGAATAGAGCAGGACCTCCTTTTACTACTCAGACTCTGTCATGTGCACACTGAGGCCTGGACATGCCTCCTCTTGCGCAGTCTCCCTCCTGCCAGAGGTGGCTGACAGAAATCTCATGCAGTTCAACAAGAAGTGCGAAGCCCTGTACCTGGGGAGGAACAACCGCAGGCACCAGGGCAGGCTGGGGGCCACCCAGCTGGAAAGCAGCTTGGCAGACGAGGACCTGGAGGTTCTGGTGGACACAGAGGGGAACACAAGCCAGCAATGTGCCCTTGTCACTAGGAAGGCTGATGGCATTCTTGGCTGCTTTAGGCCAAGTATCACCAGCAGGTCAGGGGAGGTGGTCCTTCCCCTGTACTCGGTGTTGGTGAGGCTGAACCTGGAGCACTGTATCCAGTTCTGTCCCCCAGTGCAAGAGATGTAGTGGAGGGGCCACTGTAGGGCCACCAAGATGATCATGGGGCTGTGGGGCTGGCAAGGGGAGGGCAGCAGGGACAGGGAACATTGTCCAGGGCCATGCTATCTGTCCCCGCATTAAGTCGAGCTTGCGACACCACCAGGGAGGCTGCTGAGCACACAAAGAGCCTAAGCAAAGTGAAAAACTGAGAGATCAGAAAATGGGAACAGCAGCCTTCAGTGACCTCAAAATAAAATAACAAAGTGCATGCCTTCACTCTGTTACTCTCCCCTGTTCTAAGTACAGGAAGCACAGTATATAACATCAGGCAAAATAAAGCTGAGACTTTCATGCTGGTCAGTGAAATAGCAGCAGCTGAAGGTCCAGTCACAGCACACACTGCTGTGGATGCAGAAGTGATGGTAAAAATAGCTTCTCCTTGTGCTTCCTTGGCTGTAGCTGGTACAGTTTAGCCTCAGCCCTGTAGGCTGAAAGCTTTATGCTTTATTGCTGTTCCTTTGAAGATTAGGTTCACAATCCCATGAAGTATTGCTGTGCAGGTGACAGCAGCACTCACCAGACCCAAAAGGGTGAGGAGGCAATGGGCTAAGATCATGCTGCAGAGAATGAAGCACAAACACAGGTGTGAAGCTCACAGGGTCTAGGCTGACATCCTGAAGAGTAAAATCCTGTACACATACCCAGACCAGCTGCTGGCCAGTAGGAGCAGTGATCTCGGTACTGGATTTGCGTCACCTGGCCCAGGCTGGAATCCACAATGCAGGGTGCTAGGATGGTCGTTCCACAGAAAACCTGCCTCCAGCTTCCAGCGGCCCTGCAAACGTAAATCCTGGCTGTGCTGATATGCAGCAGACCAAAGTCTGAGGAAACAACCTGAACCATTTACAGCTAAAACAGTGACACCAAACTTCTGTGCTGATAGCACTCCACACACAGAGCAACAGGAACAAAACAGTGAGCCAGAAGCTCTAGAGAGTAAATTAAATCCCCTCATTGCTCTAACACACATATATGCTACACACAGAAAAGCACACCAAGGCGATTATAATGTATAAAATAGTTTATTACTATAATAAATAAAATTAAACTTTTTTTTTTTACAAATATTATTTGTGCTTGTTTAAAAATGTTGAACAGGGATATCATTATGTAGGTGGCTGCATTTGTAACTGAAACATTCCCAAACAGCGTGTATACGTACGTACACACACTGTCTATCTACTGGCAGCTGCTTTGCTGACCACAAAAATAGTATCTACTTGTTCTCTTTGTCTAGTCATGCTTCATTGAACAAAGTGACAAATGCCAAGAAAAAGAAAGAAGAGTATTTGGTGGATTTCAGAAAGGATAAAACCAAGTGAAATACACTTAAAAGCGCCAAAGCGACTGCATTAACTGCATATCAATAAAGTGTCCATGCAGTGGTGGCTAAATATTGAAACGCAGACAGGTTTCCAACAGATGTACAAATATTGATTGTATGTAGGTACAATAATATAACACATTCATTAGAAAACTTCGTATTTCTTTATATAGCAGTTCATCCTGATACAAGATTATTGAACGTCTTTCATCTACAGCTAAAATGATTCTTTTTCTATGTTAGTGGTCACAGATTCAGTGGGAAGAAGAAAAAGGACATTAGCCTTTCAGAACAGAGAGTGAAAACCCCAAACTGCTTTGTTAACACCAGGTATTTAAGTCCACCTACAGAGATGTCCTGGGATTACACATCAAATATGTTTACACAACACTCAACAATCAGCTTGAAACAAATTACAGTTGCAGGTAATTTCACATTAGCGTTGTTGAACTGTAAAAAAAATCTTTGAAACAAACACTTTCGTGATATGACGGGCTGGCTCCCTGATGTACAAAAGTGTTTAGACAATAATTATGTATCTTGGTTTTGTAAGGGGAGAGGACTATTGGAGTAATTTATTATACCAAGAAGAAGGCAATAAGTGGAAAAATAAATGTGATTACCAACAAGTGATTTCCATCAGATTTAGAAAGCTAATCAAAGTGCTTTATCTTTAGGCAACGTTGTAAATACTACAGAACATTAAGAAGGAAGGAGAATGGAATCACAGTTTGAATTATGTCACTTATGAAAGGGTCTTAAGGCTAAATGTCGGATATATCTTATTGCAAAAAGCTTTATTTTCATTTAATTGAATCAACACTTGCCACAACAATGTGGTCAAAACTACGTCTGATTAAAGGATGCAGTAATCTACTGCACCTCACCTCAAATTTCTGGAGCTTCCCTGCACGGGTCTCTCTCTAAAAAGTTTGTCGCAATGAATCAGAAGTGCAGCTGAAACACAGACTTTGTTATTGCCAAAACACCCACAGGAGACTACGTGGAAATGAAGAATTCAGAAGGTGCTCTTCACCACCTAATACCAGGACAAGAAAGCAGAGGTGCGGTGACTGCATGCCACAGAACGATAGGCTCAGCACCTTTGAGACATCCCCTGGTACCAGGAAAAAGAAATCCGCCTGTTCCACAGTCCCTCTTGCAGGAGAAGCCACGAGAAGCGATACCAGGGCAGCTTAGCTTCAGAGACATTGTGAGTGAGCAACAAATGGTGGTTTATGAGCCGTATTCCCACCAGCTATGATACAGCATTTTTCCAATGTCACACGGTTTCATTTTCCTATCACAGCACCTGCCAGATCTTCTCTCAGTCACAGCTAGCCAGACTAATAGGATAAAGTTGAGGCCTGCTAGAGAAACCAAAAGTCTTGGCCTTAAAAATTCAACATTTAACAAACAAGATACTAACTAGGACATTCAGTGGGTAGCTACTGGGAAGACTGAAGTTCCCGTCTTGAACTGTAATCATTGAATGAGGGATGTGCTTTTACGGAACAGAAACACAATCCATAGACTTATCTGTACATAGATATTATATATATCTGTGTATGTACACGCATTTGCACAAGTGTAATCATACACATTGTTGTTTATATAGCAAAGACAAATCAGGTATTAAATTCTTTCACAGACTGGTTAAGAGTGATTGAAAATATCACCAGATATTCACAGTAAATATCTTGTTCGGTTCATTAAAGTGAAGTACTGTAGAAGCAGAACATCACCTTCGAAGCTGTTAAACAGGGTGCTCGCTGGGATTCAGAGCAGCACTGTGAAAGAGATTTAAAGCAAGAAGGGTGTTTTTAAAAGTATACAGGTAATACCAGACAGAAGTTAATGTATCTGAACACAGTAGGGGTGAGGGTTGGTTTTCGCTTTTTTAATCCTGTGCTGCATATTGGTATTCTGGTTAAGCACGAACTTCTACACGTTTCCATCTTAACAATTCATAACCTAGGCTCTTTCTCTGAGCCACCAGCTTTTGACGGAAATCTCATTCGAATATAGGGTAAAAACAGAATGCATGACCACTTTTTGATTAATACAGGCTCTTTAGCAGGCTGTTAAATGTTAGAAGCACTATGCCAGAACACCGTTAAAACAGGGGCTTTGTTTTTTCTATTCTCTTACAGACTGTGAAAACATTTGCTTGTGAAGGGGCAGAATCTCTCATGCTCAGAGGTCATTCATTTCTAAGCTGAAAAATAATTTTATTGAGGAGGCTTGCTCAACATGTAGGGAGAAAAAGGAAAAGCTGACAAAGAAATGGAAGAACAAGTAAAAATTACCATGGGTATGTGCACCACCCAGCCTTAGGCATCCAAATTTAAGGCTCAATAGAGACAGATTTGCAACAGAGGTGCTTTCAATCACTCCCTAAAGGAGAAGCACTGGATCTGCTGAGCCTGGGCACTACACTACAGCTCCAAACCAGTCTGAGGGCCAAAGCAGTCACTGGTTCCACAGCAGGCAGAGTTGTGCTCAATTTAATTACTAAGTAGCCCAGGGAATCCACAGACCAAAAGCTCATCCTAAATATTTTTTCAAATTCTCTTACAACGCATACTGGTTACTGAGGGATGATGCAGTCTTCTACAACTAGTTTTAGTACCTTCCAGTTCATAAAATCATAATAAAATGGGTCTGATCTTTTACAGCTGTGCAAATGTGAATGACATTGCCTGCTGCCAGTGCTGACCTGCAGCAGACGCCTTGAAGGTATCACTGGAGGGAGCAGGGTTTTTCTGGAGTTTCATGACTGTAACAGAATCAAATCTGGCCATATTCTTCAAAGACATTACATTTTAAGTGTAATTCCGTAGTATATTACAGTCTTTCAAGGCTTTACAAATGGATTATAAATGGCTTTATAGGCTATTATGAAAGCCTCATAAAAGCCTTCGAAATGGGCTCCGCTACACCCACCCCTTGCTGTACGGCAGGCAGCAGCACACCAAATCACGCTGAATCGGGCTGCACGAGAGGTGCCCCCAGAAGATGGGGACTTGGGCTCCCTTGCTCACAGTACTACATGTGGCAGAGGGGATAACTGGGGGATTCAGCAATCAGCAGCACCAGAAACACCTTAAACACATCCCTGAGGGCACATGAAACATACCGCTGAGAAACATCAACAGAGTGCCAGCAGCAAAGGGCCAGGTAACCTGCAACTGCACACATAACTCTATGCCTGTGCTGCGATGCTTGAGATATCAGGCACATCCTTTGGGGGTTATAACCATTTCCTCCCCCATCTGCCTCAGCTAAGCCAATTTTCATGTTTATCCAACTGCAGGGAGATGGGTACCTGCTGAGTTCAGCAAGACTTTCAGCCTGTCACAAATTTTCTGAAGGAAACCCGATGTTGGGAATATAATGCTGCAGAGCGCTTCTTCGCCTGGATTAGAAAACTGACACCAAGGTAGCCTCTCAAACCCTGCTGGAACTTTTGGGCATCAGTTAGAAATACGTACATACTTGTAAACCTGTGGCTTATTCGGGCATAATTTCACTGTTGGATGAATTTACAGGACTGACAAGACTAGAGAGAAAAATCATGTAGGAGTTTCTAACTGTGTGGATTTCTTATGGTAATCACGGCATAGCTATTGCAGGTAACCATTGCCATTGACAGTGATTAAAGCACCGAACACACACTGTGATTTGGTCAAAAAGAGCTTTCCGCAGTACTGTACATCTTCAGTACGTAGCTGTCACCACTGGAAAAAAATAAACATGAAACCAGAAGTAAATTCAGGAAATGGCACCCCTGTTTCATAGCAAGTCACCTCTCTAATGCCTTTTCTTGGGAATGGGCGAAAGAAAGCAGCATACAGACTTGATCCTGATAGATGTTTCTCGGGAATTTTTCAGTCCATGGGTAAGATTTTATAATCTCTGGACACTTCTGTAGTGGACAAGGGCCTATGACTATTGAAAGCTAACCCTAAACCAGCTGCAAACCGCAGTGCTGCTCTGAATAATCAGCATCTCAGAGCAGGGCAGTTACTGGAAGAGCAGATATTAACAGATATCCTGCCTCCTGAGCTCCCAGCTTCTCACAGCACAGCCCCGATGCTGTGCCACTTCCCCAGGGCACCTTGCACTTCCCCAGGGATGGCTGGCACAGTTCTGCATGGCCCCATGCAAGCATCAGGCCACCCGAAATCCTTTCAAATTGGTCATTTCATTTACCTTTTACTTACTTAACCTGAACCAAATTTTCTTCCCCCAAAATCATGTCATATATATATATATATATATGTTGAATTACTTTGTACCATAGAAAAAGAATGAGAACTACTACTGAACTGTATTGACCTACTGCCATTAAGAATGAAAACCCCAAAAAGTGTTGCATCATGCTTCTGTGCAATAACCTACCGATAAATAGTGAACGTACCTGATCAGTGGAGAGAATTTACTGTGAATACACACCTCTATCCCAAGCCTTGATACCATTTGCACTACCCTACCTAGTGAATAATGAACAGTAGTTTTGGTAAAGTGCTTCAATCTTCCTCCAAAGAAGTTATGAAAATATAAGTTTTGGAAACATCTTTAAGAAGCAGATCTTCTTGTTTCCTTGCTACAATAGTGCTTGTATACAGTAAGCACTGTATTTCTACCTCTATTATCCATTTGCTTTCTAGCTAGATAAGATCAGGAACAGTACATTTGGGTGTAGAGAAAAATGCCACAATCTAAAACCTCTAAAAGTTCTGTGAAAGCCTTTGGCTACAGTGAACATTACCAAAACAGAAACTTCTGAATAATAATTTAACAAGAACTAAAAGAGCAGATTCACAGCAAAAATGGGACATAAATGCCACAGTACATTTTCACAGGGAGGAAAATCTGCAGAACAGCTACTGGCACCGATGCACCACGGTACGTTCTGCAGTGGGCAGGACACATTCTGCACATTCAGTGGCTGGAGTTAAAAGCAAAGGTAACAATATTCCATGACATCTGAGGCAGAAGGTAAGCTTTTGTAAATCAGTATCCTGGCTCACAGAATGAGAATGTGGATGATCCTGTTTATTGACTGACCTGAAATACTATCCCTGTTTCTGAGGATAGTTGTTAAATGTAACTTGGTTGAGCAATATGACAATTAAGAAAAAAATGTTCATTTTTTCCAACTTTTTTACAACTCCCTTAACTCCCCCAAATGAACTTTGGTATCAAGTAGCACATGTTCATTCTACTGCTCTTTGCTTTATTACAGGTATATGAAAACATACTGTGGCATTTAACATGCTGAACAGGTGACTGAGACAGTGACAGCAGCAGAAAAAAAAAGAAAAGAAAGAAAGAAAAATGCTGAAAATGTAAGCACCCTGGCAAGTCCTTATTCATATAGGCAAAACTGAGCTAACTACATAAGGCATGCTCCAAAAACCTAAGAGGTCACCTGGCGCTCACTGGGATGGCTGCTGCTTTCCGAGTTCTTATTCCAACATCCTGAGGGAGAGAGGGAGTGGGGGGAATGGGAACCAATGCAGAAAAGAAAAACTTTATAAACTGTACCCTTGCTGTCAAAAAGGCTTCAGAGTCAGCTGCCATCTTGACATGAGGTTGCAATTCCTGCTACCGTACCTTTTTAGACACAGGGAACATGCTTAGTGAATTGGTCCCTCACTCGTTTTCGAGATTAAATTTAAAATGTTAGGGGGGTGGTCTGTTTGTTTGATTGATTGTTTTTCAGAAAGAAACACCTCAGCTAGCTCCAAACATGTCTTTTTCTGATTCTGGAGACTGGGGCCTTGATATTTCAAACAACTCCTGTGGTGACTGGGAGCTTCTTCTTGAGGTTAATATCCTAAGTATCTCTGCAAGCTGTTTTTCTATATTGGTCATTTTTGTGTTTAAAGCCTTGATGTCCTCTTTCAACTCATGTTTCACTTCCAGCATGGTGGCCTGAAGAGTCTGTTCTGGGATAGGATAAAAGGAATGCTTGACCTCGGTGAGGACCGGGCTGCGGTCCTGCGGGCTTCGTGTCTCCCCAACATTATCCAAGCGCAAGTCACTTTTTGTGATGCCACTGTCACAAGAGTCTGTCTTCTTCAGGGTAGCTTCTCCTGAAGCTTTAGTTCTCTCAGGTAAAGTCTCCATGGATTCTGCTTTGGAGACTTTGTTCCAGTCCTCACCTTTCCCACAGGCATCTTTGAATTTGGCCCAGCCTTTCCGTCGAGGGTAATCCCCTGACGCTTTGCACCCCGTGTACTCCGATGCCGGGGCCTGCAGCTTCGCCTGGTCAGACTGCCCAGACGTCGAAGCCGACTGGTAGGAGACGGGGGTGGCCGGGCTCTCCCGTACGGTCACCACGCTGGCTTTGACCACCGAGCGGGCTGAGGAGTGCTCGCCCAAGACGTTGCCCTTCTCCACGTCCAGGTCATCTGGGTCTCTCCCTCTCTCTGCCGCGAGCCGCGCCTCCTTCTGCTGCCTGAAGCGCTGAAACAGCCGGCGGACCGGGTGATCTGGTGGTAGAATCAGAGGGGCTTCGTTCTTCCTCTTCATTCTCTCCTCTTCTTCACGTTTCACGTCACTGATTTTCCGGAACACAATCTACAGGGGGAAAGAGATTTTGTACAGTCATTAACTGCACCCTTCTCAAGGGGGAGAAGTTGTAGAGAAAGAATTATTTGAAAGAATTAATTATAACCAACAAATGCACAATCTTTGTGCATTTACAGCAACACTACTGCAGTTTTCAAGTGTCTTATTTTGTGAATGTGGCTTATTTCATTATTTAAGCTTATCTGTCTTACAACATCAGAAAAATAAAAAGCTCTCCAGTTCTGAGAAGTCACCAAGGCAGTGCCACGGTACATCTAATGACCCCAGGAAGAGTTACTTGCCCTGCTTTGTCTTACAAGAGCACTTCTTACATTTGTTTTGCTGATTCTAGGATTGAGCACCAATATTCTAGTATTATAAAGAGCCACTCCCATGTCTTACAGCGGCCTCATCCCTGAGCTACACTCAGAGTGATGTGTAGCACCACTCGCTACACATCATGCAAAAATTCTGGTACTATTTTAGTCCAGTGGACTTTTTTGCACAAGGAAACATTAATTTTCAGTTTACTTTCTTAATTATACCTACCTCAGCCTGTAAGCTAAGCAGTCCCTGTGGGAGCAGCCTAAATGTCTTTGGTACCAATGAAAACCTCACGGTGACAACACAATCCCAAAACACAGCAAGGGAGTGTTTCTTCCCTGAACTTGATGGCAACACATTCTCTTAAAAAACTCCATGTGTTTTACATTATTATTGGTATTTTTCAAGGGAAAAAAAAAAAACAAAAAAACTCCTATGGGGTATCAAAGGTGACCCAGCAAGCAGTTTGGTTTGAAAATGGCAGATCCCCATACCTGAGGGTCTCAGTACAGAGCATAACTGCTGTATCCCCCAGCTTCTACTGAGCACTGTGCCACCTGATCTCTTCAGTTGCCTTTGGGAAAACCTGCTCTGAATCCTTATACTCCAGGTGAAGAAATAGCTTTCAGGTTCAAATCATTATTAGCAAATGTGTAAATAAACCCATCCCTCTGCTGCAGAGAGATTTGAATTAAAATAAACATCATAAGCACTGCTTCACTGGCACACATAAAATGCGTGTTTCTCTCGACTTCAATGCTTCTTGACAGTTCTGTCATTGTGAAGCAGGGAGAAAACAATATCTTAACGCTGCCTATTTGGAAAGAAGAAGTTGTCAGACTTGGCAGCGTTTCCCAAATGCAAAAGAATAAAATTAGCATGAAGGATATTTTATTTTCAAGCCGCAATTAGGAATCTAAATGCTAGATAAGAATAAGAAAACTGAGTACTTGACAGTACTATTTTTTTCCCCAGGAAACTCGGTCTGCAGTAGGCTCAGCACAAAGCGGACAAAGAAGCATAACCCTTAGAAGTGAAGGAATACATGTAGCGCTTACTCACAGGGCAGGAAGAATCAATACAGTGCTCTGGGCTAATGGCTTTGCACACTGGCAGTCCCCTGCTTTAATTGAAGGAAGGGTGTCAGCCCAGTGCTCAGCTTGAGCCCAGCCGTGCCAGGCAGGGGCTCGGGGTCATTCCTGCAGCAGGCTGAGGCTGGCGCTGGGAGCACAAAGCCCCAGCAAACCAAGGCAGGTAGGAGCCAGGGCTCCTACCACCTCATGCAGCCAGTAGCACAGGCTCCATGCTGCAGGACAAGAGAAGCCAACTCACCAGCAAACACAAAGAGGCGAGCGCTGGGCGACATGCTGCTGGCAGTGCCCATCACCCCCACGGGTCCCACTGCTTTCCACTGTGCTGCCTGGACGAGACCTGGCGGTGCTGAGCACACCTGGCCATGTGGCAGCTGCCACCAGCTTTCTCCCTGTGTGAAGCTCAGCCTCGGGGCCCTGACCATACCCACATCATTACCTTCAGGGGATCAGATCACAACAGAAGCATGAGCAGAGGTGGAGGGAGCAGTTACAGAAGATACTGCCTTTGTCATGGGTACTGCTACCATGCCGAGGAGATCCCTTCATTTCCATTTTGTGTATGAGGCCTTATACCAGCGACAAAGCAAATACACCACAGCAGCAGTCACCTGCATGGACGCAAAAATGCAGCCCTCAGGTCTCCCATCCTGTCCAACACATACATCTATGTGACAAGCTGCGCTCATGCAGCGCAAATCGAATCTACATGCATTTTCCAGGGCACGCAGCCTCCAACTCTTGGGTTGGTTTCTCTTACCGACCTCGTAAGACACTGGATAAATACCTGTCAGAGTGCAACTCATCTTTGGGAAGCCCAGGAAAAGCTGCCACTGGTCTCGTTTTTGGCAAGCTCCCCAGTGCCACACTTTCTTAAGAGAAATCCATAGTTATGGATTAAGCAGAAGTTTTATAACTATGCAAAGCTCAGCAGGAACTGAAAAGACTGCATAACTGCATTTTGGATTTTTGTTGTTGCTGTCTTTCTTGACGTTAAATGCAAGTCCTTACACATAAAAATACCCATAACTGCTTTAAATGGACTGCTTTCTTACAATTGTTGAGGAAAAAAAAAAAAAAAAGGTAAAACAGCCAGAATAAAAGGCATTCAGAAAACGTGGTGGTTATGCTGAGATATGTATACCTGCCCCCACAAGCAGTCAGAGTACAAAGGAAGTGAAAATAGTTTTTATTTGTTATAAGGAAGAGAAGCCCAGACCTACACATCAGTTTTCATGTGGAATTTGTTAGGGCTACAAATATAAATTTTAATGGAAGTTAAATCCCAAAATGTGGCAAGGCTCCTCAGACAGTTTTTTAGTTCAATTTCTCTTTATCACTCTCTCAAAGCATTCATTTTTTTCTGAGAAGGGATAGTGCAGGAGCTATGCACACAGAAAAAAAACTAGTGGGAACATTTTAAAAGTATGTGAAGACCTAAATATGTATGAAGAACCTGAACTGCAATGAAGTAGCAAGAAATATAAACACCAGGCATAAAAATGCACGCATCACACATCCATTCTCAAGTCTGGTGTCATAACTCCATCTTTATTAAACAGGTGCTGCATCTTGTAGCTCCACAGAAAGGACTCACAAGCCAGAAACATGAGTACTTGGGTACTGTGGGAGTATTAGCCTAGAATTGCAAAATAAAATAAAATAAAATAAAATAAAATTGAAAAATAGCTCTGTTTGGCACAGATTACTGCAGTCACCTCATAAACATTTGACTGAGGTATGCAGCTATGATGACTCAGTAACAATTTTATTTGTGGACAATTCACTCAGAGAAGTAATGCACGCATATGTCCCATTGACCTATGACAGCATAAACCCTGCTGCCACATCCCTGCCTGTGCATGAGCAGTGTCCAAGGAAGAAAGACAGGATTACACCCAGAAAGTTTTCCTTTCCTTGGTATTAAGCAGTTGTGAGATGCCACAGTCTTCAGAAAATCTGGGGATAGGTTCCATCCTCTTTTTAACATGCAACAAGTTTTCAAGCTGCATTTGTAGAATCGATGCCTTTAGAGATTAAGGTCAAGATTTATCCCCAAAGTATTCAAAAACTCAGGTGGACATAAATGAACACTCAAACTACTTATTTGGTTATCAAATGCGGAGTGCCCATCAACTATTACTTGGATTTTCCTGGGCTCAGCACTGAAACACAAGCATCGTTTCAATAATACATCATGGGCGTTTTTCATTGCTATGACTTCCATAATTTCTTTACAATGGGACCAGAGGAACAGGCTGCAATGTGACTTCCAGTGTAAGGCAGGTCACAGGATTGCTCTGGAGGGGCATTCCCTGAAGGCCACCTCATAGCAATGAGATTACATCATTTAGAAAAATACTCCATTTGATGGCAAGTAAAGAATCCATCACCACATCTTGATAAAAGATGCCTGCAATTTTTGCTTCGATACTGAGTTTGTCTGACATCAGCGACACTTCTGTTCCTTTCTCCCTCACACTGTTAAACATTCGCTTTTAGAAACTGATTATAGAGTCTTATGTTCAAAAACCTCTTCAGAAGTAGTAGAGCTAATCAGGTACTACTGTGAAGGGTTTAGACAATGATGTTTTACTGATATTAAACAGTCAAAGTCCCAATGTTTAGAATTTTCAATATAACTCTAAGCCTTCCAATTTTAACTCTTCAAAGACATTTGAATTCCTTCCCTACCTTCCAATATCTTTCATAGTCAGTGCTTAAATTCTCACTCTTGCTCAGAGCTAGAATATGTAGTTGATTTAGTGAAATACGAGGGTCCCTTTAAAAAGGCAAGTAAAACAACTAATCCTACAACGAATCTTTCAGCTGTTTCCCTCTGCTGGTTCACTGCTATCCATTCCTCTTCCAATCTCACTATTTGCACTGACCTGATGCTTCTCTAGCGCTATCCAGTATAGTTCCAAGTTGTTTCTCCTGGGCCGTAACAAAATGGGAATGGGCACAGGGCTGCTCACTTTGTTTAATGAAGACACTTCTGAGAACCTATCCCAAGTTGGCCATTGCAACACAATAAAAGCCTGACATGCACAACAGACAACAGTGTCGTCTCATCAGAGCAGACTCAAATATAGGTACGGTAACTTAAGTGCCTCCTCCCTTTACACAAAGACTGGGGTTGTGAGGTGAATAATAGGATGGGGGTGTATAAAATCAGACACAACACAAAGATGAGTAGGCAAGGATCGATTATATACAGGGTGATATGAAAACATATGAAAGCAACAGCAATGAATGACAGTGGAGTCACATAAAAAAAAAAAAAAAAGTTTGTGGTTCTTCACCTGAATGCAGTAAACATGAAAAAAAGCTAAGGAAGATATTCTGAATGCAAAAAGGCTGCATGGATTCAGTAGGCGAGCAAGCAGCTACTTGGTAGAGAAAGACACTGAGGGCTACCAAACAGACAAAAGTGGTAACCTGCTCAGGAAATCTCCTCAGTTAAAAATAGTTGGAAGCTGCAGGAAGTTATTTGCAGGAATTGTCACAAAGAAAAGCATTGTTCTTATTGCTTCCTTAGTTATCCCTAGGCAACCCTAAATGATTATATAGGTCAAATCTGGAACTGCTGCC